TCACAGGTAAGGAAACAGGGGCACGAGCTGATGCAGTTTGCTCAAGGTCATGAAACGTATAAGGGCTGGGGCTAGCCCCGGAACCCAGGCGGTCCGCGTCCGGAGTTCTGTGTTCCGCACCACACGAGGTACACATTTGGCAGACACAGCGGTCAAAAAAAAATGTTTTAAGTTTTCCAGTGACTGAGGCTTTGTAACAAATAGGCCAACACGTGTGGCCTCAGCGACCACAGCGTTTATGTCACTCACGAGTCCACGCCTTACTCCTGTCTTTCCCGGGGTGACTGGGAGGCTGGCAGCTGGGACTGCCTGGAGGGTCTCCCTCCCTTGTTCCGCCGTGGGTGCTGGGTGCCAGCTGCACCCCGGTGGCCTCTCCATGGGACTAGCCTGCACTCCTCCCTCCTCACAGCACGGTGGCCGCTGAGTAGTATCTCGTGAGTGTGAGAGTGAGCCGGGTGGGAGCTATGTTGCCTCTTAGGACCTGTCTCGGCAGTTTACGCAGGGTCACGTCTACCGCATTGGATCAGTCGGGATAGCCGCGAAGTCCTGCCCAGGCTGAAGGGAAAGTCCCACCCAGGGAGACAGGCTCCCCCTCTCAATGGAGCGCGGCCAGGCTCCGGAGGAGCGTGCGGACCCGAGGTACTGCTGTCCGTCTGCCTCGGAACGTTTGCCCAGTGTACTCCTCCATGCCCCAGCTAGCCTGTCTCCAGACCGCCCCAATCATTTCGCTATCGTTTTCTTTAAAAGCACCCCAAAAAAGATTCCACCATCTCAGATTGGGACACCACACGTCTGCCAGTGTGAGGTCATTTGGATCTAACACGATAACAGGAACTGTTTGGTATTTCTCTTGGCCTAGTGGTACAGTGAAGAATCACTGAGATGTGAAGAACTGTCAGCCAGGAAAGTTTGAGAACTCCCATAGACCCTCATCTATCTATTTTCCTGATACTTATGCCCCTCCACCCCGCCAAAGTAGACACACACAGTGTGAGCCAGTCTTTCTCTGGGGCAAGGCCTTGTGTCCTGGGCCTCCGGCAGGGACTTCTCCTGGCCTCCTGCAGGGCACCCGTGGGCAGGGGGCGGGGCATCCGTTCCCAGCTCTCCGCCCCTGCTCCTGGCTCAGTGTGCTGCCCTCAGCCAGGCACTGGCCCCTCTTGGGAGCTCAGCCTCAGTCCTCACTGGATCCTTCTGCTGACCTGGAGATTCTGCACCCTGCCCTCTCTGCCTCTGCCCAGTTACGGCTGCTCAGCAAAAGGTGGAGACACTGTGAAGGGCTGTGGTGGGTTCAGCACCCCCAGATGAGTTTCCCTTTGAATCCCTGGTGAGATGAGAAAGTCCTTTTCCTGCACCAACATGTCTTTGCCCTGGTTTCCTGTTGACCAGGATCGGGGGCTACCCTCCTAAGAGAGCACTGAGCCTTTTACATGAACAAATAACAAATGGTGAACGCGCAGACGTGTCCTAATTGCAAGGCCTCTCCCCCAGCGGTTGAATGAGGGTTGGCCAGGACAGGCCTTTGGGCCTCGCCGCACGTGGCGCTGTGAGAACCGGAAGCCAGAAGGACGCAGCAGACCGCACGGAACTGGAACTGGAGCCCCAGCGCTGCGCTGGGGGCCGGACTGAGGGGCGCGAGACGGTTTACAGACAGCACACACCTAGGGTGAGTCCTGGGGGGAGTGAGAGCTGCCCAGACGTGCGAGTGGGGGAGGAAAAGCCTCCCAGACAGAGGGAGCAGGACGCGCACAAAGGCGGGCCCGCGCATTCATTCCGTCCTGGGCTGTGCGGTGGTCCTGGGCTGTGCGGTGGTGCGGGGCTCGGTGCAAGGAGGCGGGGCGTGATCCTCAAAGGCCACGGTCCAGGGCAGAGGGACCACGTCCCTGATTTGGTTAAGGGAGGGGCGGTTTTCCTTAGATAGCTTTCCTAGCGTTTGACTCTCAGACTGTAAGCACCCCCAATGCCGAGGTAACTGGCACCGAATCCATAGGCATGTCAGTGCTGCTACACCTCGTCTTGGGTGCCAGCTTTGGGCTGGGAGGCGGCGGCCGGGAGCCGGAGTGCAGGAGGCGGGGAGAAGCTGAAAGAGGCGCGGAGACAGATTCTCGCCCGGGCTCCAGAGGAACCAGCCCCACCGACGCCTGATTTTAACCCAGGGAGACCGATGCTGGGTTTCAAACATAAAAACTGTCAGATAATACGATTGTCTTGTTGTAAAGCACTGAGTTTATGGTCGTTTGTTATAGCAGTAGAAGAAGGATAACACAGCATTCACACACACACACACACACACACACACACACCCTCTAAGTGGGCCATGCAGCTTACCCTCTCTCTTCTGTGCTTTCTTCTCTCTTTTGTAGTATTTTTCCCCTTTCAAAGGTCCCCGGAAGTTATTACCATCCCATTTCTCTTGGATCAGTATGTGGAGGTGGGGACATGCAGCTTGCAGAGGGATTTGCTCTGCATTTCGTGCCCTGGGACAGGCCTCGGGCGCCTGCCGCTCTCTGGGAGGCCGGATGGGCCAGGGGCAGCCCGGGGCTCATCCGTTTCAGAATGTGGAGAAACACCAGCTTCTCTGCTGGCCAAGAAACCAGGCCTAACACGGAGACTATTGTTCCAGGCAAACACCCTGGAGGTCCAGCAAGAAGGAAGTGTATTTATATGTGGCTCTCCAAGAAGATGGGGCCATGCAGCTTACAATGTGGTCCTTATAACTGGCCTCCTATGAATACCTGAAAAAGCTCCAGCCACTCCGTGACCGATAGCAAAGGGCCGTGAGGTATGACCACTGACATTTAGAAGCGGTGCACTGCCTGCACTCTGGTATGGAATGCCAGTCCACATTTTATGCTCCCTTTAGCACCACCCGAATGTTTAGGGGACATTTTCTCCCTGCCTTCCCCTTTGTGTGATCAGATGGTATTGCTGACCTGGGCACCTGGGCACCTGGCCAGTGCTCTTAATTAAGCAATGAAGTCAAATCCGTACTGAATGGGTAAAGGTGTGTGGATTCAGATGGATGCTTTAATAACGCACAGCTATCTGAGGAAGATCAAAGCTTGTGTCCAGGTAATTACGGGGCTGCTGGGGTTGGACGCCTGCCCGGACCTCGGAGCGACATTCGCTGGCGCTGCCGGGGATGCAAACCCAACAACTCCTGGCGAGGGCAAGCAAAGGGGTAAAATGCTTCAGAAACTCATGCATTATCATCATTATTCCTGGGAAGTAAGCCATGCCAAGGGGACACGTGTGGCAATGCTGTGGTTTTATGCAAAGTGCAAAGTAACCGTGGAGAATGATTCATTTGTAGGAGGTTCTCAGATCAAAATGGGAGCCCCTGAGCCTCCTGGCTTGGGGCTGGCGCTCACGTGGGTCTTGGACTGTCCCTGGGTCAGGTGACACAGTTCAGCGACACAGTTCAGTGACAGTCAGAGCCATGTGGGTCTACCTGAGGTGGTGAATCCATGTGGAGACAGAGAAGCAGGTGGACGGCTCGCTGCCCCGCTGGGACAGCCGCGCCAGCACCCACGGCACGGGCTTCTGAGGACCCCTGGGTGCTGGGGTCTCACGTTAGACCAGACCTGCTCCTCGGCCTGAGAGCCACGCCTACAGTAGGAAAGTGGAGATACCGATCTCATAAAAATGAAACCATACCACTCCAGTACTGGTTTTTACTTTCTAAATATTTTACAGATGGTTTTGCATATCATTACATGGGCCTGCTTCACCTATTGGCATTCCACTGTTCAGTAACTGAGAGTGTAATTCTCTAGTTAAAGGCTTTTACGTGGTTTCTAAGTACTCTTTTTTTTTCATTGTCAGCAACCAACAAAACTTTTTCTTTGGTACATGTACCTGTTTAGTTCTTCAGAATAAATTCCTAGAATTGGAATTTGGAATTCCTGGGTAAAAATAACTTAGACTTGAAAGACATATTACTAAATTCCCTCCGGCAAGAAAGGTCTGTTCCACACCAACAATGCCCGATCGCTTTACACTTCCTGCCGACACTGAGTCTTGATCTTTCTTAAATTTGCCAAACTGAGAGTCCAAACAATTCATTGCTGTTTTATCTTACATGTTAATGAGACTCGATGGTTTGGGGTTTACATTTAAATAAAGATTTATTTCTATAACATGGCAATTACAATACTTACAATAATTTGCAACCATTAGAAACAAGCATTTCTTGATAAAACGGAGAGGTAAAAAGTACCCTAATAAACAAATAATATCTATAAATTCACAATAACACTAAATCACAATCCACCTCTGACCACAGCTAGAGTCCATTAGAATTGCGTTCAGCATGCCTTCCCCCCGTGGAACAGGTGTTACTAACACAGTAACCATTGGCGAAGAGAAGTGGGGAGCGGCTTTTCCCAGGAGATCCTGAGCCTAAGGGTCTGCATCCATGTGGGAGGATTTATACGCTCTCCTGCACCAAGGCAAAAAGGTCACCAGATTTCCCTGAGGTCCCTGTGACAGTGCAGTTTTGGGCTGGGGGAGTCACATCACGAGATGAGGGGATTGGTAATCAGGCAAAGAAATTCCTTACAGGCTAGAGCGTCACGATTTGAGTCCAGAGGAGATGCCACAGGAAAACAAGCGGAAACCTATCGGCACGTTTGATCGCTGGGTTACTATGTGTGGGCAGCATATACGTTATGTTTCACAGTCAGGACGTCGGGAGTATGTAGCCCAATAGATGCCACTTAGCTGGGAGCCCGGGCACACGAGCAAGTTCCCATGATTTCTCCTGTCTGCCCGGCACGACTGTGTGCCGGCCTCCGCAGGAGAGCACAGAGCACCCAGAGCGACGCGCCCTGCTGCCAAAGGACGCACGGGGCAAGTGCGCACGCCCCCTTTCAATCCCGCGTTTGCAGTAGGCGTTGGAATTGTGGCTCTCGGGAATTTGGTTTGGGGTACCTGCCCATCCCCAGGTTTCCGAAAATAGTCACAAGGAGGAAAATCACAATGTGAGATTCTCTTTCATCCTGTTTTTGTCCTGAGAGCGTGGGGTTGTCACCACTGAGAATATCCTCAGGTTCCCTCCAGCTGGGGGCACAGGTTGTTGGGCCTGAGTCAGGTGGCTAACCTGCTGGCTAGAAGCCGGGGACACGAGGTGACAAGCAGCATTCTCTCTGCCAGCACACACCAGCTGTCAGGGGAGTGTGGGGTTGCCAGGGGTCCCCGTCTGTGAGAGGTCTGTCATTTTCTCCCGCACGGCCCTGTTTGTGCTGGGAAGATCTCCGCCCCAGCACTGCCCTTCCAGAAGCACATTAGCGGGTCTGTCACCTCATGTCCACGGGAGATCAGTTTCTCGGCCTCCTGTGATCACGCAGGTCTTTGCTCACTCGCTTGGGCTGTCTTTGGAGCGGCTCTGGGTCTTGGGAAGGCTGTATCTTCTGCAGCCAGTTTGGTGATGCCTCTTTTGTCCCAGGTCAAGCCATAAAAGGCTTATGGGTTTTAAGCCCTAGAAAGGCAGAGAGCTGGCTCGCTGGCGAGAGGGGAGGGGAGGGGAATGAAGTGCAGGAGGCAGGGTGGGCGTAGAGTGGTGGCTCCCAGGTGTGGCCCCTGGGCTGCAGCACAGACACCTGTCAACCGGGAACTTGTGGGCAACGCACATTCTCGGCGCCTACGCCAGAGCTCCGGGGATGGGTCTCAAGCAATCCCCGTTTCAGCCTGACCCACGGGTGACACTGACGTCTGCTGGTGTGGGAGGCACTGGGAGAGGAAAAAGAACCAGGCGGAGGTCTCGGAACTGGGCGGCGGCACCTGGAAAGGAGGTACAGAGGCCTGCCGCACGATGCAGGGCCGGTGGGACGGGACGACGACAGGGGTCAGGGCGCAGGTGAGGAGGGAAACGCTGAAGCCCGGAGTTCAGGCGGCCCCCTGATACCTGAGGGCTGAAATCAAAAGACAAAAGGGACCCAAGTGCTCCCAGGGTCCAAGGTGGGAGTGGTCCTAGGGGGCAGTGTGTGGGGGTGAGGAGGGTTTGGGGGAGTAACACAAGGGGATACCACATGAAGAGAACTGAGAATGCTGATGGATAAAAGGTCTAGCTGTGACAGGGTGAGCAAGGACCAGAGTAGCCCCTGGTCCTGTCCCCTTCAGATGGGGAAAAGGACTCAAGTAAGGAAGCGCTCCACCAGCCAAAAGAGCCCAGGGTGGGTCTGCATGGTGGGGTGCGGGTGGGAGGCTGGTAAGTGGGAATTTTAACCCACAGGCACCAGGGGGTTTTGGCCCCCAACTAAGGAAAACGAGGCTCAGGATGCCGAGTCCAGGGCGAAGGCCCTGGGGGCAGCCAGCATAACCGGTATGGCGCAGGAAGGTGGCAGCGTGGGCGGGCGGGACAGGTAAGAGGACGGAGAACATCTAGGGGACAGACAACATCCAGGGGACAGACGTCACACACACACGCAGACCAGACACAGCCCAGCCCAGCCGTCGGGCTGAGGTCGAGACATGAACTCCTTCACTAAGAAAAGGCACAGAACCGGGGCACGGGAGGCTGGCTGTCGTGTTTCTGGAGGTGACAACCACAGCTTTCGGAGCCCACGGCGGGGCCGGGAAACACTTCCGATGGTGGCGGTGGGGGCACAGACAAGCCCACACTTAACTGTGTGGGCACAGCGTCACGGGCAAAGGGGACCCCCATTCTAATAAAGAAAGTCAGAACAACCCCCAAATTTTCATTGTGACATTCTTAAGGAAGGCCCTATGTTTTAAAGACAGTCCTTTGTTTAACATGGAGAAAGAGAAAAGTCGAGTTTTATAATTTAGTCGGGAAAAGTTATACAAGATCCAGACTTTATTTCCACGGATTTCTGAAGTCATATGCTTTTTAAAAACCTCTACCTTAATTTACCCCCCCGCAATATTTACTATTAAACCAACCCAATAGATGCAATTAGTTGCTCTCCAAAGACAATAACAGACTGTAAGGCCCAGGAGGCTGTAAAATAAAACAGATTACGACCGACTGATGAACGACAACAACGAAAACTAAACTGAAGGGCCCGAGCCTTGGTGCCGATTCACAGAGCTATGCAACTCAATGACGCGAGTCTGCTTCGGGTCAGCCGGGCACGGACGGCCGCACCCTTTCCCAGAGAGGAAGGCACACTGTCACCAGCGCCGAGAGTCACGGGTGAGTGAGGACACGCGAAGACGGCGCGTGGTGCGCGTGCCACGCAAGCCGGTGCCCGTGGGGCGCGGACTTTCTCACGTCCAAGCAACGTAAACTGTGCGCGTGTGACGCTGATAGCATGAGAGTCCCTTCGCTAACCAAGGCTAACCGTTTTTGACGGAAGATCAACCTGAAAGAAAAAAAGGAAAAATCAACTTTTCTAAGACTACTCGGAGCAAAAACGCATCGTCTCTCAGGATCAGGCAGATTTTTTAAAAAAGAAATGACATGACGCTGGTGCAGTATTTCAGAAGAGTGTGCAGACACATCGACAGCAGCTGAAACCGTTTCACCGGCACATTCAGGAGCTCACATGCAAAATGACACCACCGGAAAGTCCTTTTCCGGGTGTGAATTCAAATTCTGTGGTTATGAGCCACATATCGATACTGTGTTCATGTTAATTTTGAACACACATTTTGTTAAATTTAGTTATGCTCTTCCAAACAGTTAAAACTGCAGCACACGAGATTTGGGGGCACTTCGGGAAGGCGCTACTCCGGCCAACACATTGCAGTCATTTCCTGAAGTGACTGTGGGACAGTAACCTCGGTCTAATGTTAGTTACTGTCGGGTACGAACATTATGACCATTTCTCACAGGACCGCTGAAGCCGATTCTGCCAGTCATCTCAACGCACGAAAGCACCTGGCAAAGTAGACTCCCGTCCAGACACACACAGGACAGAGAGAGACGGGAGCGTTCCCTAGTCATCTCCTTCATGAGCTCGCTCTTTTTGGCCGTTTCACTGTTTCAACATCTCGGGAAAAGGAAGATCCAAATATAACACTAACTTTCCACAAATGAGTCTCCCTAAAATCTGAACTGTTTTTCATCAGGAAGTAGACCCCCTTAAAACTACACATCCGGAAAACTTAACTGGATGCTGATCTAACAGAGCTATTAGCAAGGCCAGAAGAACAGAAGAAACAAGGGAATAAACAGATCTCTAGTACTGCACTACATATAGACAGAGAAGCAGAATTACAAGTATTTCACTTTAAAAATGTGACCACACCTGCCGAGCAAGGGAACTCAGGAATTATAATAGTAACGTAAGTACCTAATATGTGTCCTAAAACTCCCTCTAATGTGCGGGCTGCCCGTCACTGTCCCGGCCGAGCCGGGCTCCTCGCAGCTGCCCGGTGGCCAGCTCAGACGTCGATGCGGATGCCGTGCTTGGAAGACATCACTTGTCTGGCCCCGGTGAAATACATGGCCAGGGAACAGACGTGCGGTAAGGATGCTGTGACCACCACGTACAGCCAGAACGGCAAGGGAGAAGTTTTCCCAAACGGGCATATCCACAAGCCGTGGCGAATGCCATCGCGGACGTGGTGTGAGGTCCAGGACATGAACACCATCCAGGGCAGGAAGCACCACGAGTCTTTGAGCTTGAAGAGGTGCATCATGAACTTGAGGGCCAGGGCCACGGCGGGGATCACCGTGGAGCAGTGCAGGAAAGGCCTCCGAGGGAGAGTCAGCGCAGCCTGCCGGGAAAAAATGTAATACTTCATTCGAAACCAAGGATCCATAAAGGGGCTGGGGGGAAAAAAGTGAGGGACTAAGCAAGATCTTGGGTTGGCCAAAGAGTCCGTTAAGCTTCTTTTGTAAAATAAAAGACACATTTTTCAGATTCACCAATAACTTGACGCATTTGGATATTTTGAGCATGTCGGCTATTTTCTGCAAGGTATAATGTTGATTGTTTTCAGTTAATGCCTTGGTTTGATCGCTATCGACTTCAACTGGTCTACCTGACCGTGGAGCATTGTCCGGCGAGAAATCTCCAGCACGAAACCTCGAAAACCACTTTTTTTTTTAAAAGCATGTATTTTTTTTTCTTAAAGATTTTATTTATTTTTAGAGAGGGAAGGGAGGGAGAGAGAGAGAGAAACATCAATGTGTGGTTGCTGGGGGCCATAACCTGCAACCCAGGCATGTACCCTGGCTGGGAATCGAACCTGTGATGCTTCGGTTTGCAGCCCATGCTCAATCCACTGAGCTACGCCAGCCAGGGCGCAAACCACTTTTGACACATTCCATCAGTCACAGCACCTTCTGCATACACTGCGCAGATCTTGTTTTGCATTTCAGTTGCATTTTTACCTTTCTTGAAATTATAAAGCATAATATGCCAAAAGTGTTCTGTATTTCTTCTACCTACAATATTAAAATGGCTATGCAAAAAGCCACCAATTTTGATTTTTTTAAAAGCACAGGTGTCACAATATAATCTAACAAAATTGTTTTTTTTATAAAGTATATTCTTTTTTTTAAAGATTTTATTTATTTATTTTTAGAGAGGGAAGGGAGGGAGAAAGAGAGAGAGAGAGAGAAACACCAATGTACGGTTGCTGGGCGCTGTGGCCTGCAACCCAGGCATGTGCCCTGGCTGGGAATTGAACCTGTGACGCTTTGGTTTGCAGCCCGTGCTCAATCCACTGAGCTACGCCAGCCAGGGTGTTAACAAAATTATTTTGAATGAAGTTAAAGACAAGTAGGTGCTACTGGCGCCATCTTAGAGAAAAAAACAAACGAACTTTTGGCCAACCCAATACACATCTAAAAGTAATACACAGGCGCAGGCAACGGTGTGGTGGCAGCCGGAGGAAAAGGGGGATGGGGGAGGTGGGAGAGAGGAAAGGGGGATGGCTGGGGGTGGAAAGAGGCTTTACTGTGGGGATGGGCGCACCATGCAGCCTGCAGAACATTTGAAACTTGTGTGGCTTTAACCAATGTCATCCCAATAATCTCAACTTAAGAAATTACTTAATTTTAAAAAAACGATCTACATCAGCACAATGCTATACTTTACCTGCACTACCTCATTTAATTCTTGTAACACTTCCCCTGAGCCGGGGGTTATGTCACAGAGAGGAAGCTGGGACTTGGAAAGGCTAAGCACCTGCCCCGCGCTGGGCGGCTCAGCCTCCGCGGTGGAGCTGGAACCGACCCGGGTCCCTGCCCGACTCCGTGGCTACAGTCGTAACACCACGGCTTCCAAACGAATCAAAGAGTCCGCGGGGCAAGCAGCCCAAATATCTTTAAAGATTGCAACAAGAGAGATCAATTCCGGGGCTTATCCTGACCTCTACCATTTGTCGTTAACCACGTGCTAAGGAGTGCCGTGTCACTGCCCATTTAGTCCTCCTGACAACCCTCCGAGGTCGTTCATGGTATAATCCACATCTTACCCACGAGGAAGCTGAGACCGAGGGGAGAAAAGGCACGCTAACGTTATCCACAACCCTAGAGCCAAACTCAGGCCTTCTGACTCCAACCTTGCACTGCCTCCACATAGAGCAAAAAAAAGTTAGATTTGTCTTTAGTCGGGAGTTGCTGATTCTGCACCGGTCAAGTCTGTAAACAAGTAAGGCAGCCTCTGAGAAACAAACGCCCAGTACAGCGCTGACACGTGACAGGAAGAAGAGGCCGCCACTTGCCATTTGTTCAACACGTATCTACAGAACACGACCAGGTAGGCTGGGCACTATTCTAGGCCAGCGGGGATAGACGACGTCGTTGCTCTAAGAGTTTGTATTTCTTTCCATGAAATGTCTGCAGATCACAAACACGTATAAAAGGCAGACACATCTGCTGACACTAGAAAGTAGTATCTGACCTGCCATGCTAAGCCTGGTTCATGTGCGAGGCTGGTGGTCACCGCATGGCCGAACCCCTGACGACGTAATGAAATTCTGCAACTTCTCCGCCAGGGACGGTGCCCTGACCAGCCCGTTGACATGCACACCTGTGGCTCCCAGAGGGACTCGGGAATGAATCCACTGAAGTCCCGCCCCAGGCCTGGGGTCATCTTAAAGCCATTCCGCGGTTAGGGAGCATGCGCAGCAGCAGCTGCATGCTGGTGATAAATCATGAAGATGTGAGCAAACAAGAGTGGGGTCCTGAGGAAGAACATGGACACAGGGAGGACGGGACGGCCCTGAGGATGACCCCACTGCCTGTGTGCACCGTCGGGGGAGTATTGATACACAGTGCTTGAAAGAGATCGACGGATAGGCTTTCTTATTTTAAAATGTGGCTCGTCTTCTACAGCGCCAACTAAAACGCTGCTGCAAAGTTCAACATAGTGGAGCTAACGACATTAAAGGAGAGAACCCAAAAATCAAACAGACACGCTTCTTACCTTTAAAGACAGGGATCTCGCTAGGAGAAAGTGGTCTACGTCAATCACGGAGGCTAAGAATCCAGCTAGAAGGATTTCTCTCCAGTCGGCCTTCTTCTTGGCCCCGACGACGATGGCCCAGGACCACATGCCGATCACGCCGTGCACGGTGTTGTCGGAGAGGGCGCGCGGCCAGGGGTTCTGCTGGAGCGCGGGGAGCTGCAGCAGCCTGTCGGCCACGAGGCAGAACAGCCCCAGCCCCAGGCTGGACAGCAGGGACTCGGCGCTGCAAGACTGGAGCAGGGCCTGGGTCTTCTCCGCCTCCGATGCCATCACAGACCCCGTGTCAGCGCACACGCCGCGCCATCAGGACACCGCGGGCAGCCGGTTCTGGCGGCCATTCCCCGTCACCCTGACGTGGGAAGCAGAGAAAACTATTAACATGAAGGTTATGGGCTGCCACATAATACTATCAAAACGTTATCAGCAGTAACTTCACAAATATAAGACTAAGTTGTAAGACTGGTATTTCTTTTTTTAAACTGGCATCAGTAATTTTATTTTTCCTAGCTTTTTGGAGATACGATCAATTTGATACACTGTGTAAGCTCAAGGCGGACAACTTTATGGTTTGATATGCACACATACTTTGAAGTGATTACCACAATAAGGTTAGTGAACACACACATCACATTGTCACCTTTTCTTGCGTGTTGAGAGCATTCAAGATCTACTCTCTTAATAACTTTCAGGTATAAAAAAAGGCATTTCTTACATGCCATATACTACATGCTAAGGGACCCGAAGAGGACAGCGTTGTAGGAAAGACGGGTTAGATGGGAATGCGTGTCAGGGACACGCGAGAGCCCGCTGTCACCCATCTCTCTGAGGTCCTCTCCCCTTCGGTAATGCTCACTACATGGCGGTGGGCACCCGTCCCTGCCCCCAGCGACCACAGTACTTTCCACGCTTCTTGTGCTAACAGCATCCCCTTCCTTTGGGAAAACGACTCATCACGACATCCAAACTCCAGAGCCGACCAATTAGGATTCTCCGTCTCCCTTGTTAGTAGCCGTGATTAATTAATAATGTCTAATTAGTAATCATTTCCCAGTAGTGATTAGTAGTGATTAAATTAGTGATTAAATCAGCGAATCCCCTTTCCACAGTTTTCCTAAGTGGAGCTGGCGAGGAGTGTTCATTTCCTTCTTGCAGACCCTGGGCTCCGCGACACGGGGCAGCCCGGGAAAAAAGAACCGTAGGGACGTCAAGCCCTCAGGTCCAGCGCCAAGTTCCCAGAGCTGCCCTCCACGGCTACGAGCTGCCCAGCATTTCCCCAGGAAATCCTTTCCTCCTCCCTGTGGCCTCTGACCGCAGAACCCCAACTAATACGAACCGTCTGTGCAGAGTGCTCACCGGGCACAGAATACCGAAATCGCTTATCCAGTTCAAGTTACCCACATGGTGTGACACCTGAATTTTTTGTTTTGTATTGTTTTCGTTCTGAGACTAAAGAGTAACGAAGCGATTCATTGGGAATGATGGAACTTCGATTCTGTAATAAAAACTACATACAGAGCATTACATATTTTAAACTTTATAGGGAAATGCAAGAGACCCGGAATAGGAACACTTTGAATCAAGTTGAAGCACTACACCATTCGGTTTCAAGCCTTATCATAAAGCCACAGGGACCAGGACTGTGGTGTGAGGCCCTGGCCGGGTGGGCTCAGCTGGTTGGGCGTCATCCTGCAAAGTGATGGATTCCCGGCCATGCACGGCATGTGCCAGGGTGGGGACTTTGTTCCCTGGTCAGGGCACGTTTGAGAAGCGACCAATCGATGTTTCTCTCCCTTCCTTTCTCTTAGTTTACTGTGGGGTATATGGAGTAAAATCTGGAGTATATTTGTGTCAGTTACACTCCAAAGAAGATAGACTTTATTGTCAATGACAACAGCAGACTTTCACTAAAAGGAGCCATCTGCAAACCAGACAGAGGTCATGGAGGTGAAGAGCCTGGCCGCCCGGCTACAGGGTCAGCAGAAGCACCGCAAAGTGAGACGAGTGCTTCGAAAACCACAAGTGAACACAAAGAGTTTCAATTTTTATTTTTTCCCCCCAAAGCCTGAGGGGGGAAAAAAAAGAACAAAGAACTAGCATTAGAAGAAAAAATAAATTTGAAAAATAAAGAGAAAATTCTTTATCGGCATTCAAGTCAGGAAAAAGCAAAAAGGTTATCTGCAAAGCAGTGTGACGGACATCAACAGTAACACCAGAACGCTGTGGGGTGCAGAGCTCTGAGAGAAAAGGGTCGCTGCTGGATTCCAGATTCCAGCAACTTGTGGACCAAGGTGACAGTCGTGAATTTTGAGCGTTCTGCCTCAGAAATCACAACGCCTATGTACAATTCCTGGGAAGGAAAGACTGAGGAGCAGGACTTCCACATCTCTCAATCTCTAGAGAGAGGGGAGAGGAACAAAGAAAACTTGATCAATACAGCAGAACAGAAAAGGGAAAAAAGCAAAGAAAACCTTACCCCCGCCCCCTGCCTCCGCAAAAGCAACTGGGACCAAGCACAGCAAACACAAATGCCACAGTAAATGTAAGTGTATTAAATTTCTCTATTAAGAGACAGATTGAGACAAAAGAAAATATCTATTTCAAGCCTCTAAGTTTTGGGGTAATTCATTATGCAGCAATAGTTTCGAAACAGCTTCTGTTTTTAGAAAGGTGTAATTATGGTCCCAGAAACACACAATTCTGACTTCTCGATTCCTCTCCGACTATTGGTGCAGATACTTAGATTCCCAGTCGAGACAGAGAAACTTAGTAAGTGCATGTCATCTTATTTACCGTCTCTGACTGGGACACCTAAGTGACCCACTTTTATTCTTTCTTTGTTCATCCGTCGTCTAACTCCTCCTTCTTCCCCTACACATAGACTGGACTCAGGAACCTCCCAAATTGTACAGGAGCCTTCTGTTTATTTTACATACTCACTTTTTGGGAGCAGGTTCCTTAAGAATAGTAATGATCATTTTCTTTTAAACCCGTCGTGCATACAATCTAATGTGCTCAGGTGTTTAATAAATATTTCCTTGTACTGATAAAAGGGATGAGCAGGTAAGCAATCCTCAGCCTCGGAACCAAAGCTGTGGCTTCTCTGCGCCAAGAGCCAGTCTCCCACGCCACACATTTCTCTGACTTGCAGGGACCAGTTTCTGCCGTTGCCAAACTCGGCCACACCTCGTCCTCATTACAGTAAAATGCCATCACCTGTGGGGCCTTCCAAGTATTCACTGCAGTGATCTGCCTTTCCCTTAACTCCACAAACACATAATTAACCAGTAACTTAAATTATACACTATTATGTATTGTCTGCCAATAACCTCTTAAGACATATTTCTGCCAAAACAAATCCGAGCTAACAAATTCCCAATGTAAATGTCATCTCCTACTTCACCCCCTTCCTCTCCCCTCCCCTACTCACAAAACATTTACAAGAACTCGAGGTTAAAAGCACAATATAAAAGCGGAAAACTGCCTTTACTATGCCTTACAAGTAAGTCCTTTTCGCTGAACTGGAGTTGCTGCGAAGCTTGTATTTCTTTAACGCTACAATACCCGAAGCAGATGCCAAATCTAATGCGGCTAATTTGTGAAGAAACACAAACCTTGCTCACTTTCACGGAAACTTTTTATAGCCTGCATAAAAACGTGTAGTTCCTACGACCATTACGAATAAAACATACGACGCTGCATTTCAACTTGATGTTTCAAGTCTCAGCAAATTCTCACAGTCATTCTTTCGCCAGGTTGTTGTGATGCCATAACTTTTTAAACGATTAAGGAAACAGGGCAGGAAACCGTGGCGTCTGCAGGGAAGACTCAAGTCACATTCGTCGCATCCGTGCCTCCCAGGATGGGGGGCGCCCAAGGGCTCTGCAGCCAGGTCACGATAGCAGTGGGCAGGTCTATCAGATCCCCGGTGCCCACCCGCCCCAACCCCCGGCTCCCCAGCTTGGGTCAAGGAAACGCCAGCAGCGTGGAGCCTGGGCAAAGACGCGACGCAGCGGAGGGCACTGCGGAAGTCCCAGGGCCCCGGACGGTGCCGGCCCGTCGGCCAAGCCACCCTGCTGGCTCCGGGGTCCCGCGCGCCTGCCGCACCTGCACGCCCTCCCCATCTGGAACCTGGACCTTCCAGGCTTCAGGCTCAGCTGGTCCCTGCCTCCGGCCCCACACGGAGGGCGCAGTTTCGCAGCACCCATCACACCCCCTCTCCCACCCAGCCCCCCCGGCCGCAGCGCCGTCGCACCCACCCTAGGCTCCGGCTCCGAGGCCGCGGAGGCCGAGCAGGCCCCGCCCCTCCATTCGGCCGGTACCATAGAGATGCCGGCGCCGGCCAGAGCGGCTCCAGCCCCAGGGGACGACGGGATGCAGCGCCGCTCTGCGCCTACGGGAACCGGTATTCGAACGTCCTTTGGGGGAGGGACCGGATACCTCGAGTTCTTCCCCATCACGGGCCCTCGAAAGGAGACCCTTGGGACGACGGGGTGAGACCGCCAAGTGCCCTGTTGGCCCCGTCTGTCAAACCTGGGTTCGTTCTTGACTTAGCCGGCGCCGTGCCGCAGACCCAAGTGGCGGCCGGGACGCCGGGGCGCAGAGCGAGCCTCACCGAAGCGGGTGGGGGCCCGGCCTGGTGCCCGGAGGCCCCGGCCGCGCGCCCCGAAGGGGTGGAGGTAGTTCCACTCGCCTCGCGGGGCCCTGGGCGGACCGCCGCGGGCGCCCCGGGGCAGAGGCGCCGCCTCAGCGCTTCACCGCCCCCTTGGGGCGGTCTGCGTCATTGACAGCCTTGATCGATAGTTCCAGGATGAAACTAATTTTACAGTTTTTTCTCATAAATCTGAAACTAAAAAGTTCAAAATTTCAAAATAGTTCTTTATTAATAAAGTATTTTATAAATGTATATTTTAAATTTACAGGTTTTTAAGTGTACAGGTTACAAAGTTTAATGTCACTTCTCACGTAATTATTGTACAGGAGTCATATATGCAATTCCTTGGTTCTCTAGTAATTTTATACCAGTCACTTGAAACAACATCCTTAAGATTTAGTAATATAATAACCCCCTTTTTCACTTTTTAGAGTCTGACAGGAGACAGTCAATATCCTGAATAACTTCAGAGATTTTTTTCAGTGCTACTGATACTGTCTTTTCACTAACTTCTTCTAGCAAGGTGTCTGAATGTTCTGGGGTATATTCAGAAGACCGGTGATTCTTCTTGTTAGAAACCTGGCTTAGGACATCACTATTCTCCAGCAACGCTAAGTTGCTTAGTTAAGGAGATTTTACCCACATTTTTGATTATACAAGTATTTTTCATTTCAGGAGGTCTGACGTTCATATTAAAACATGATTTTTCCATTGGGAGGAAGATCTCTTGGCACTTCAAAACTTATGGAGTCTATCCCTTACAAATGAAACTAGAGTATAAGGGAGGGGTAAGGGAAAGTGTATGTATGTGTGTGTTTGGATGGAGGTTTGATGATAGAAAAGAAAAGAACTAAAATCTCAGTAAACCTTTAGCTACATTTACTAAGGAAAAAAGTGACAGGACTCAAAATTACAATACAAATAAATGGGGAAATTACAACTGACAGCACATAATATAAAGGAGCATATGGAACTACTATGAACAATTACACACCAACAAATTGGACAATGTAGAAGAAATGGGTCAATTCCTAAAAACAGGCAACCTACAAAGACTGCATCATGGATAGGAAATCTGAACAGACGGAATGGTAGTAAGGAGACTGAAACAGTAATCAAAACCTCCCAAAAAACTGCCCGGGACCAGACAGTTTCACTGGTGAATTCTACCAAACATTCAAGGAAGAATAAATACTAGTAAGAGGAGGGAACACTTTCAAACTCATTGTATGAGGCCAGGATTACTCTGACAACGACAACCAGACAAAGGCACTACAAGAAAAGAAAATTACAGGTCAATATCCCCGATACACATGCAAAAATCTATAGGATGTACCTTCTACAGACAAGATACATCTAGAGTATCTTAAATATTCAATGAAGCTCCGCGATATATGTGTGGATTACCATAAACTACAGCCATGAATTAAGCCTAGAACAGAAAGTAATTATGCAGGACAACACATTATGTTTAAAGGATACAGTTAAACTTCTGGATCTTTTCAAGTTCAGAAGCCACACACCTGTGGGGGAAAAAAAAGTAAGTTCATGATAGTTGTCTCATTATTTTATCCACAATATTTCAAATAAGCATACTTGAGGTTTTTTTCATAAAGGTTAGAATTTTAGACAGACAAACCTAAAAGTTAAGAGTTTTTTTATACTAGCTTTATTTATAAAAAAATCAGCTTGACTCAGTTGATAAATTTATTGAGTGCTTTTAATGAGTAAGCCAAGTGAATAAAAGTACCCACCTCCAGGAATGTTTAATCAAGTATTGATATTTGAAGGTAATGGCCTTCCTGCTACAACTTCTTAGAATTAACACAGTAAACCCTCTATTTCCTTAAAGTATACTCAAATTTTAAAAACCTATTAAAATCCCATCACTTTTGAACAATAAGTGATCTCTCCTCCCTTGAATTCCTGTAGATTATTTTAATTAATCATGTACCTATTTGTAATGTCTTCTCTTGAACTATTTTATTTTTTAAAAGATTTTTTAAATTTATTTTTAGAGAGGGAAGGAAGGGAGAAAGAGAGAGAGAGAGAAACATCAATGGGCGGTTGCTGGGGGCTGTGGCCTGCAACCCAGGCATGTGCCCTGACTGGGAATCGAACCTGTGATGCTTTGGTTCGCAGCCCACGCTCAATCCACTGAGCTACGCCCGCCAGGGCTATTTTATTTTTTTAATACCTAGATTGTGTCTTTCAGTAGTATGGACTCTTTCTTCTTCTTCTGTATTGTGCACAGACAGCAAGACTTCAGTTATATGGAACTCAGGGTATGGACGGTTTGGGAGGGTTTTTATGCAGCTGAACTAGGTCATAACAGTTTCTATTAAATTCCTTCTGGAACAGACTACTTTGTCATTTCACTGTTTTCTTAACCACAGTACACTAAACATTCTCTTCTCCTTGACTTGAAGGATTAACATTACGAACATTTGCTCTTACCATTTTCCATAGAGACAGATTTTGGGGCAACTGGTATGGAGTAGGAGGCAACTCCAGCGGAACCTCTTGCTTGTGTGTTCTTTCTCTCCTTCCTCATCAAGCTACAGTCAAATGTGAGCAGTGGCACACAACTAGAAAATAATGTGACTCCACTAGCTCTCTGCAAAATTAAGGAGGGCGTTAATGTTTAAAACGCCCCTTTTTTATTCAATTCAGTAGAAAGGTCTTCTTGAGAGGTCATAAGAGGATATGTGACTTCTCCCCTGGCTTTCCTACAAGGAACCACATGTACCTCCTTGTCAGCTTACACTCTCTCCCTGTACTCCAGCCTATGGGCGGAGAGTGAGATCTTTCATCATTTTAAGCATTTATGATAAAGATTTGGATATAACTCACTCAAAACCTGCTGACTTTTCATCACTTCAAAATACCTATTTTTTTTTTTTTTTTACACAGACACATTTTTTTCTGGCCATAAACAACAAAACAAACTACCTTTAGTTCTGTTGCTCATGTAATAAACTTATCAAACATCTTTCATATTATTTTTAGACTAGCATCCCTATTAAAAAGTTGAATGACCTGGCTGGTGTAGCTCAGTGGATTGAGCGTGGGCTGTGAACCAAAGTGTTGCAGGTTCGATTCCCAGTCAGGGCACATGCCTGGGTTGCAGGCCGTGACCCCCAGCAACCACACATTGATGTTTCTCTCTCTCTCTTTCTCTATCTCCCTCCCTTCCCTCTCTCAAAAATTAAATTAATAAAATCTAAAAAAAAAAAAGTTGAACGAGTAGGCTAATAACAGAAGGTGAGCTGGGAAAAAAATACTGAAGTACCATTTAGGTAGCTATGTATTCTGCAGTCTCTTCTCTTTCCTCAGCCCACCTTTGACAAGAAAACAATTCATGGTGGGAGATGTCTTAGGGCTTTTTGCAAAAGAAATGGGGCTAATGCAAGCAGTCCCCTCCCCACTCCTCCTCAATCCCTCTGTCTCTCTGTGGCTCCTCCTTGTTTCTACCCACCGCTGCCGTCACCAATCTTCACCTCCGTTCCCTCGCTTTTTTGTGTGTCTTGACAGTTACCCTCTTCTAAGCCTTCATGTAAAAAGGCTGGCATCTTACAAATGGCCAGCTGAGCGATGATGAAGTGACAATTTTATAGCTACGTATTATTTCCCTTCCTTCCCAACTATGTGTTTTGTTAGTTACTCAGACAACTTTTCTGCTCCAAACAGAATGTTGTAGAAGCATGAGGGATGGGGAAAGTTGAATCCTTAAAATAGCGGGGGCAATCGAATAGTATCTGCTGGCTTGTGCCTCTTTATCTGACTAACTTCAGAAAAGGTGATAGGAATCAGGCTAATGTTTCTATTTTTTCACCACACTAGGCTCAGACACCTGACAACCTACTTTAAAGCTTCCTGAATTGTTCCTGGTATCCTCTTTTTCCAGTGTATTCAGATTATGTGCTCGGGGATACTAACTTTCCTAATGACCTTTCTTCTTGTCATTTTTTCCATTTAGGAACTTGTAACTCCATCCAGTCTGAATTCCTTCAGTGAATATAAGATCCATTCAAACCCCCCACTCTACCTAACAGACAGAGCCTGCTCCATAAAACCTATCTTCTCACTATCTCCACATTCCAAGATATCCACTTTTTCCTCTGTCCTTACTTCCTCCCTAAAATGTCTTACTTTCCCTAAATACTTCCTTGCGCCCAGTGCCAGTGTCCTGCGCATCAAAAGGCACACAAGAGGCACTACAACGCTTGTTTGATTTGCCAGTTCACTTGGGGGAGGCCCTAAAAGTCTATTTTTTCTGAAAGCTTATTATGTAGTCAATATTTATTTCCCTTAACATTACTAAAGTTTTTTTTAAAAACCTTTAAATTTTTCCATAAAGTTTTGAGGATGAATTTCTCACATTGAAAGAGTCACAAACATTTTGACATAATGTTTTCAGTGTAGTTTTCTGATCTCCAGATGAAATATAAGATGAATTATAATAAATTATATATCTGATTAAAGATAAATTATTTTTCATCTTAAGCTATCAAAAACATAGTTAAATATATTTAAAAAAAGGTATTCTTAGGAAAAAAGTCTTAGAGTTTACCATTTGACATTTTAATTTTTGAGTAGCAATTGGCTCCTCTACACAGATTAAAGGAAATAAGCTAGGGACATAAAGGAAAGAATAAACAAATGGGACTTCACCAAAATAAAAAAGCTCCTGCACGGCTGAAGAAAACATCAGCAAAATGAAAAGGGAATCAACCAAATGTATGGGAAAATATATTTGCCAATTACACCTCGGACAAGGGTTTGATTCCAAAATGTATAAAGAACACATATGACTCCAGGAAGACAAACAATCCAATTAAGAAATGGGCAAAGGACCTGAACGGATACTTCCCCAAGGAAGACATACGGAGGGCTCAGAGACGGAGGGCTCAGAGACGTATGAAAGGATGCTCAGTATCACTAGCCATCAGAGAGATGCAAATTAAAACCACAATGAGATACCACTTCACACAAACAGATGAAAAAACAAAGTGTTGGAGAGGATGTGGAGAAAAGGGAACCCTAGTGCACTGCTGGTGGGATTGCAGACTGGTACAACCACTATGGAAAGCAGTATGGAACTTCCTCAAGAAATTAAAAATGGATCTGCCTTTTGACCCAGCAATTCCACTACTGGGACTATATCCTAAGAACCCTACAACACCAATACAAAAGAACCTCTGCACCCCAATGTTCATAGCAGCACAATTTACAATAGCCAAGTGTTGGAAGCAACCTAGGTGCTCATCAGTAAATGAATGGATCAAAAAACGATGGTACATTTACACAATGGAATTCTATGCAGCAGAAAGAAAGAAGGAGCTCCTACCCTTCACAACAGCATGGGTGGAACTGGAGAGTATTAAGCTAAGTGAAATAAGTCAGGTGGTGAAAGACAAATACCATATGATCTCACCTATAAGTGGAACCTAATCAACAAAACAAACGGGCAAGCAAAATATAACCAGAGACATGGAAATAAAGAACAAACTGACAGTAACCGAGGGGAGGGGAGAGGGGGATAATGGGGAAAAGAAGGGGAAGGGTCGTCAAGGAGCATGTAAAGGGCTCATGGACAAAGCCAAGGGGAGGCAGGACTGAGGGTGGGAGGTGCAGGTGGGTAGGGCCAGGGAGAGTAATGGGGGAAAGTGGACACAACTGTGCTTGAACAACAATTTAAAAAATTTAAATGAAATATAAATACCAATTTTCTTCAGGAACAGAAAATGAAGGATCTGTGACCTTCTCTCTCTGACTAGTCCAGGTCAGTTTTCTGCACCATGATATTACCGCTGACACATACCTAATGGAATACATTAAAAGAAATACTTGTATAATATTTATAAAAATACTAAAAAATGACTGAAAAATTAAGACAATTTGGGGAGAAGAGTAAAGAGAATATTCTCAAGTAAGGCATTTACTTCATTGGAAATATTCATCAAGGAGAAGATTATTTACTCACATTCATGATTAATGAAGATGAGATTTAAGAGTCAGAACAAAGGGGATATTTGGATTGCATTCAAGGTTCAAATTCAAATGTCTAAATTCTCCTTTTAGTTTTTCAAAGAAAAATGAATTTCATTAAACTTTATCATGTAAATGTGTTTACACATAAGACTAAGTGAGCATTTGCTTTTTAAAATTTAAACTAGAAGACACCTATTAATGCATATGTGTATATATATATAAATAAATCACTGAATATACAAAACAAATATCAAGTTTAATAAAATGATTGTTCTGAAGCAACTGGCGAAAAACAAACAGCAATGTTTGCTAAAGATACTATCTTTTTGAGGCAAATTATTCAAACTAGCAATGAGTATCAGAGCAGTTAGACAAAAATGCAGTAAATCCCAACAGAAAAATAAATTCAAGAGGTAAAAAAACAATTCTTTTGTGAACATTCTCAAAGTAAAATCACTAAAATGTCAAAAACATTGTAAGTACAATGATGATAACAAATTATATAAACCAAAAGAAAAAAAGTACATTCATAAAAAGCCGATTTCGAGAATCTTCTTCTTTAAGAATAATCAGTTAATTTATTCTTTTCTACTTTATAGAAATTTACAGAGGGGTAGTTATTTGTGGTTGCAAACCTTAATTTCAAACTGGTGAGGGGGTTAATTGGTTAACATATCTGACCACAACCTCCACAGCAGGCCTGTCATATCTAACACGTTCACATGGAAAAATCACTGGAATACAAATGGAAGTGATTAAAGCCAACCCGATCTTTGTAGCTTTATTATGCTAGATGCCAACATAACTGTAAGCTCCGAAAGCTGTGAAATGACTTCATTCACATCCACATGTAAAAACTAAAAAAAATATGACATGCAAATATGGTTTATATCTTTCCTCTCTGTCAATTAAAAGTAAAGGTTTTTTACTAACATAAAAGTAACTTTTAACATTGCCTTTCAGTACCTTTCATATGGTCTGGAGTGTTCAATCTGAATTAACTGATTGTGTCCATCAGGAAAAGTTAACTTACACCAGCCTAAGCTGAGTCCTTGATTTACCTTAAGAAGCAAGGAGGAAAGGTAAGTTTTATCATTCAAAAACTGGGGGGGAGAAACCCAAAGAAAACCCTGTTCTAACTTAACAATTTAAAAAAGTATATAAATCATTACAAATTTATTGTGACTAATTTAAAAGTTATATTTTATATGAGACATGATTAAACTACCATTGTTATATAAATATTTACCAAAAGAACAAAAATACTAGCCGTTCCCTCTAAGAGTTACCTTTTATAAAAATGACTATTTGCCACATCTATCCGAATTTTGCTAGGAATTCCAATGAGATCAGTAAAGCCTTTTGACAGATTTTATACTTCAAAAAATAAATGGCAATGTAACAAAAAACAAAAAATAAAGTATGAAAGTATTTCCACAGATTAAAGAAAAATAGAAAATAGATTTCAGTCTGAAGTATACTCACCTGACTCTTTTCAATAAAAGAGCCAAAATTCCAATTTAGGGTTAGAGTAACGCCATCTAAAAAGATAACATGTACTTTGTCATCAGAATATGCAAGAAATCTTCCCACGCCGGGTATGAATGATTCTCTCAAAAGCGAAGGCAGTATATTGTTATCATTTATCCCAGGGACCTAAGCCAAGTAAGTAAAAACAGCAGGAAGTAGAGTTATCCATTGATAAGATTTAAATGATTAATAAACTCTGAGGCAACTTTCAGATTCTTATGCAGAAGTCCAATATTGTAGAATCCTTATATAAGTTTTAACTTTTCCAGAAGTGAATGCCCAAAACAGTCTATTACAAGCAAATCAAGCTCCAGTATCTTGGGAAAGTCACTATTCTGCTCTGAGCTTTACATAGGACACAGACAAAAATGACAGCAACATAACCACATTAACAAAATATAGAAATCAAAGTCTGAAATCACTTCCTCCAAGTAAGCATTAAAGAATATACTTTTATAATATGGAAAGAGTAGAAGACTGTAGTACTAAGGTTTATAGTAACTGTTACATAGGAACAAAGCAAGCAGTTATTTTAACTTAAAGGCCATAAAAACATACAGATGCCATCAATTCCCATGGCCTTTCTGCTCCATTTGAAAGAAGAAAAAAAATAAACTATATACAATAAAAATATAATATAAAATTATGCATCATTTTATAGTATTTATCTATTAAGTGGATATTTTTCTGAATAAATCAATAGTATTACAAAGAATTTCTCGCACAACTCAGATGAAAGCAGAACTTAGTATATATAGAAACAATAAAAACAATTTAAAATATCTGCTTTTGAAATAATTTTAAGATACCATTTTCCAGCAGCATATACAATAGTTATGGCTTAGAGAAAGCCTCATCTTGGCACAATGCTGAAGAATCCTGTGAATTGGAAAAACACGATTTCAACACTTGCAAATAATAGCATTTTCAAATTGTAGCAAAACATTCTCAATGCCATACAGCAGCTAGTGTCATCCTTTTTCTTCTTGTGGCACACATAAACTAATAAAATTCTGCAGCACACCAAAAAATATATTTTTTGCCTGACAAAAAATAGGTATAATTTTGATTCATTCATAGCAGATGGCTATTATTGTGTTGGCTGTTGTTATTTTTTTGTTTGACAGTCTAAGGAAAGAGAGGTCAGTGCCCCTGACTAAATATTCAGGTATTGTGTGTTTTAAAAATTCTGTTAATTTGAGAAAGAGAAAAGAAGGGCGGGCGGTGCGAAGACAGAAACATTGATTTTGTTGTTCTACTTATTGATGCATCCATTGGTTGATTCTTCTATGTGTGCTGACCAGGGATGGAACCCACAACCTTGACTAATCAGGACAACTCTCTCCAACCAACTGAGCTACCCGGCCAGGGTCTTGCATGTTTCAAAAATTCTCGTGGCACACATGCTGAAAACCACTGCCATATGGCATCTCAGGCAAGTAGTTCATTTCCACTGAATTATGTCCAGACCTATCTCCTTCCACAAATCCTTAAGTCCTTCGACGAGAACCACAACTGTTTCCCTTTGTGCTAATCTTTTGTACTTGAAGTTATTCCTCTAATTTTTAGCAATGAAGTGACTCCAAACAGAATTTGCAGGTGCAAATTCTTTTTAAGAGGGAAAGATTCACAGCACCTGAAAGGCTTAGAATAGGCTGAGTGGCAGGATATAAACTGACTGTTCCTAGGAAATCAAATTACAGATCTGCTCCTTCAAATCCACTTTGGAACTGGCTTAGACATAGTTTATAAAAATAAATCATTTAATCTAACATTACCCTTTCATTCTCCTGAGTGCTACAGATTAATTAATTAGAATAAAAAAACATATGAACTAATCTACACTTCATCTGCAGCACACATTAGAAGTCTTTATCACTCTGAAGATAATAAAGAAATATGAAAATTTTAAATGTATCAAATCCTCAACTTAACTCCAAGAAACAATAATGATGCCAAATTAATGAGAAGTCACCTATTTCTTAGCAGCACTTGCTCGCCACATATAAGTGTTTCTCCGTAATTCACTTTACATTTCAAAGACAGAATTACTCTTTTAACGATACAGTGATTACCTTATTTTACAAATGATGAGACCAGAAAGTTGACAGATTTTTACCAGATACATATGTTTCCATTGTACTACCAATTCTTAATTTCATCCTAACGGTTAGAAAAGGTATCAAGGTTCTCAGAACTTACCTGGCTGCGTGTTTAATTAGACGACGCACGGAGAACGGACTTCCTGGTCTGTCTGGAGGAAGGTTATTTACTGAATACATTTTCTCTTCCCTCTGAAAATTAGTTTAAAATGAAAAATATCATGAATAATAAATATTGGTCATTATTACTTAGCTATTTTTCTTGAAATATGTATTTACATAGGAACAAAGCAAGCAGTTATTTTAACTTAAAGGCCATAAAATCTGTATGTTTAAAGGTATTTTATGATGCCTTTCCATTTTTCCTACCTATTCAAAAATTACATTCTCATAGCCTATAACTTACTGTCCAATTTAAACCTTGGCTATACTTAACACGGTTACAAACTAATTTTCCTACATATTAGGGAACATCACATAAGCTTTTCCCTTTAGACTAATAAACAAAAAAAACAGCAAAAAAAATCACTTTAATTCCATGAATCATTTTGTTACATTTTATTAATGGAATTAACTATTGCTGCAGTTTATGGAAGACAATGTTATTTGTAGTATTGAATTTTTTAAAAAATTGTTATTCCTTCTTGAATCTCCTCTTTCTCAAAGTCTTTTACTGCTGGTGTTGCCCAGGGCTCTGCCTCCAGCCATCTCTCCCGGCTTCCTGGTTTCTTCTCGGGTTAATTCCGCGGGGTTCAACGCTGTGTTTATAATCATTACCATAGCAACAGCTAATGTTTATTGAAGAGTTATGTGCCGATGCCTATGTTTAGGTAAGGAAACTGAGGCTGAGGGCTGAGAAGTAGTAGAGACCTGTTGTGAAGCACAAGAGAACACAGCCCAAGAGAACTATGGTTCACTGTCAGAATTTAGTAACAGTAGACACTTAAACAGTAATCTCTGCCCTTTTATCCCGGGCTGTGGACTTGACCATCCGAATTGTTATTGGGCTTCTCCCCGGACTACCTTGGAAGAGAAAAGAGCTGGTTCAAAAAGCATGTGTAAGACTGAAGTCCCTCCTGATCCTCCTCCCCCACAAAATTTCCGACTCCTCTCTGAAAGCCATCACTTCAGTGTGCATCTGCCCAGATCTTTTCCTGTGCATTTACATGTGTATGTGTACACACACACACACACACACACACACACACACAGTAGTACAGTAATATGTAGGTTTGGGGCTTTTAAAAAAAATTTTTATTTTAATTGCTGTTCAAGTGCAGTTTTCTGCCTTTTACTCCCATCCCAGCCTAACCCCCCCAGCCCCCCACCTCCCTCCCTTTTCCACCCCCCTCCTTGTTTCCATCCATGTGTCCCCCATACTTGTCCCTGCAAACCCTTCCCCCTTTCCCCTGAAATTCCCTCCCCTCCCCTCTCTGGTCACTGTCAGCCCGCTCTCTATTTCAGTGTCTTTGGTTATGTTTTGCTTGTCCGTTTGTTCTGTTGATTAGGTTCCTGGTTTGAGGCTTTTTTTTTTTTTTAAATGTAAAGTCTATCACTGTACATTGTTATTAATGCCATTTTCTTTTTTTCACTCAACGATGTCTTGGAGAGCTCTCGATCTCTCTCTTGTGCACCTACATTCTCCTTATTCTTTTAAACCGCTGCACAGCGTTCCCTCACTCGATAACGAAAGCTCATCGTGTCATTTCCCCATGGATGAGCACGCGGGGTGCTTTATTTTTGCTCTACAAACAATGACACAGCTGACATTCTTGGCCATGCTTCTTTGTATGCATGTGCCACTGTTCTTCTAGGATACACGCACAGAAGCGTTTCTGGCCAATTTTATCTGACGTTGCCAACGTGGCCTCCATGACGGCCGAACCAATTCGCACTCCCAACAATGGAAGCACCCCACTTCCCACACCCTTGCTGGCAGTACAGTCTCAGCCTTTTCAGTTTTTGACAAGTTGATGAGTGAAAATACTAAAATTATTAGTTTAATTTTCATTTCCCTGATGCAAGAGTAAAGTTGAACATGTTTTAAAATATTATGGGTTATATTCATTGCCTTTGCTATTATTGTAACCATGGGGAGAGGATTATCATTGATTTATAACATAGAATATTTTTTCCATGCCTTTGCGTTTTTTGCTTTGACTAATTTAAGACATTAAATATTTAAAATTTAACGTAAGCTTGAAAATTTCAAGCTTATCAAACTTTTATGGCTTCTGTTTTTTTCTGTATTGTACTTAAGAAGGCCTCTCCTACACCAAGATTATTAACACTTTTCTCCTCTATTTTCTAACAATTATATAAAAGTTTGGTTTCTTCCATTTAGCCCTCACATCCATTCAGGATTTATTTTGGAGTACAGGTGAAAGTAAGGCGCAAACAGTTTTATCCCCCAAAGAGAGCCAACTGTCTCTGATCTTCTCACCCAAGCAGACAGAGGACAGAGAAAGTGTGAGAATTCCACCACAAAGGCACAACTTGTCTGAAAGTGTTGTGTTTTATCCCAAAAGCTCATGATAAGTTTGTTTCAATAGAAAAATGATCGTCCCCTCCTCCTGATGCCTTCAAGTAGAACGGAAGCTCCAGGAAGATGTACTGTATTCATCTTGTAGTTCTGTGAACTCCTGGTACACAGCAGTCAGCAGTGTAGATACGCATACCTACCCTATCTGCCTGTTCACTCGTCTCATGCACCACACACACACACACACACACACACACACACTACTGGTCATGCTTTCATGTCATTTGCTTGTTTGCCAATCGAACCACTAGGCCATGAACACTTGAAGCCAGGAAATCTTCATCTTCACCCAGTGTTTAATAGAGCACCTGCCTGAGAGTGTTCAATGAATACTTATTGAATAAATGAATACTCTCCTACAAATAGACCCCAGAAGGGAATCTGTTCCAGTATACACTAAAATATTTGTGAATGAAGTACTTGGGATTTACAAAAAGTTAAATAGGGAGTTGGGGGGGGGGTAGGGCAGAGGGAAGTGTAGACGAAACAGTTTGGGTGATGGGTACGTGAAGGTGTGTTACACTTGTCTTTCTACTTTAGTATTTGTTTGCAAGTTTCCATAGTTAAAAAGAAAAAAACCTACTCTATTTTTAACTCTTCTCCCTAGCACTTCTGATAATCTTATCACTTAAATACTCTCTTCTGTAATAGGGAAAGAAAACAAATTTATTGTGTTCCATTCTGCAAGGCCAAGCCACATGATACTATGGTGACCCCTATAAAAGGGCGAGGTCAAGTGTCGGACTAGGGACAAGAATTATTAACAAAATACCCACATTATTACATTTGATCTGATTTGTTAAATATATCATGTTACGTTTCACTGTTTTCAACAACAGAAAACAATCTTGTTCAGCTTTCTAGTTATACATAAAGATTTAGGAGTTAAGAGATATTTAAAATACGCAAACAATACATGCTAGGGGGAAAATGATACGCTTTTCAATGTGCAAGTATTAACTCAAAGAAGTATATCAATTCAAACTGATTCTGCTGGTTTTAGTGCTTCCTATCGATAAATTGACAGAGGAATTTAACTTCTGATTTAAACACAAATTGCTTAGGCAAAAGGAAGACAAATTACAGTATGAGAACACAGTGAAGGTAAGATGATGAATAATTATTGTGCCAGTGCTGGCAGTAGGCTCTGTTAATTGTTTAGACCAAGTAGTATCAAGCTATGTTATATAAAGATCAAATACCCTGTATAGATCCACAATTATTTGGGAACAGCTATACACCAAAAATCTTGAGTTGAGACCTCCTTGTCAGCTCACCTCTTCTGATCCTTCCTGAGTGCAATAGTATGTAAAAAAGTTCCCAAAATAAGCTCCTTCTGATTTGAAAACAGATCCATCTCCAGGGTAAATCTCTATTGAGTTCACATTTTTATGGGTAAGTCTAAGGAAAGGAAATAATCATTTAAAAAAATGTTTTTCTAATTGAGATTAAAACATGCATCAAGTCAATTGTCAAACAAAAACAAAAATCAAAGATGAATGTTTACCTATCTAGCAAATGGATAATTTCATATTCTGTACCACCAGCCAACTGAATGAATTTTTTGCAAACGAGTAAACAGAACACAGAGAATTGGTTGGTGTATCAACTTCAGTTAACCAGGCTCAGCTTCTGGAAGTGAAGCATCTTGTCTCCTCACCTGGTATCCCCACGCCAGAGTGGCTGGTGCGTAACAGTCACCAGAGCAATGCTCACTGCCTAGGAGCTAAACATAACAACTCTAGCACCTGAAAATAAGATTCTCCTTTAATAATGAACTAGTAAAATCAATACCTGATAGGTGAGATTCGTCATGTGAGGTATAAAAACTTAAGCCAAGTCAATTTTACTGAAACATACATGAAGAATATGTTGTCAGAAGCAAGTGGGTCCTCATGCGGGAAAAGGAGAGCCCACGAACAAACAATTTGCAGTACTCTTCGGCATTATTTACACATGTGAACCTCCAGGTCTGGCCAGCACTATGTCCCGGTCGCTAGCGGGGGAGGGATACCTCAGTGGAACGGTGTGGGCACAAAGCAGTCGCTCGGTGAGTGTCTGCTGAGTGAGTGCAGGCTGAAGTCTCCCTGAGCTACCCAACCCCTCTCATCCCACACCCCCCAGGCAGCCTTCCGCTGGGTCGAGTTCAGGCAGCCGGGTCCCCCGTGCTTGGAAGGGGTGCCCTGAATAGAGGACATGTGTATTTCATTCTCTGGCAAAACTAATCCCCGCCTTTGGCGCTGTCACAAAAATCTTGCAAATATGGTTGATGGGAATTAGTAACAAGGCCCCTGTTGCCCTAATATAATTAAGTTTCGTGACCCTGAATCTCAGGACCAAACACAGGAGCCTGGTGGCCCCCACCAAACTGTATCCTCTTGAAGTTTATCTGCAAGGCTAGTCCTGTCCCCTCTGTGACGTCACGGAATGGCTCCAACTCCCACACAGGCGCCTCACCTGTACGTAACACCCTCGTACCACACCACCTTCACCAGTTCAGGATAGGGGTGTTCTCCTTCGTCAGACTGTCCCAGTGAGAGGGAACCGCAAAAGCTCCACCTGTGAGGGGTCAAATACAAGTTACTATTCTGGGTTACTCAACATAATTATCTTGAGAAGTCAACAAAATAGTGCTACTGTCACAAGAGTTATTTCTTGCTTAATTCATTAGATCAAAAAAGGTAAAAATATGAAAGTATATTAATTAAATTTTAAAATAAGTCCGTTTTTCACGCATTGTCAATGACCTCATTATTGAGTCTCAGCACAATTACATAAATGAACAGTTTTACCAACCTTTAAAATTTAGGATCCAGACAACAAATACTCTCACTGAAGTACCTACGGTGGGCCAGGCACTGCACATACACTGGGGATGATACAACCCCCAGAAAGGGAAACGTGGTCGCTGTGACGTTAGAGGGCAGACACTGAGCACGAAGCAAGGGGAACCTCTGAATGCTACGGCACGTGTAAGAACCTCATCCAGCCCCCGGCCTTGGAGACAACCCCTCTCAGGAAGTGAGGCTCACACAGAGACCTGGACGTGAACTTAAGTTAGCAGCGTACTCCTGGCAGAAGAGCGAGCAGGCGCAGTGGCAACGGAAGCCCGAGCAAGCTCTCCAGGGCCTGCAAGAAGTCCAGTTCCGTGAGAGGGTCGACAGGTGCAGGAAGGAACCTGGTCGTGGAAGGTCTATTAAGCCATATTTAAGGATAATGAATTTCAATCTACAGCCAGTGGCAAGTTATTAAAAAATCATGGATTTAGAAGCATTAATCTCTTTTGATGCATACTGTGTTTAAATGAACAAATGTGTATTCAAAAGACTACCTGGGATCAAATCCCAATTCTGCAAGTACCAGCTATGCGACTTTGTTCAGGTTGTTTAATGTCTGTTTCTCGGCTTCCTCCACAAAACGGGGCGATGATAGACAGAACTTATCATCTCACGGGGTTACTACGGGGAGGAAACAGGGAAAGTACCACCATCCCCAGCACACAGTGAGTGCTCGGTGTTAGCTATTATCATTACCACTGCACTGCTTACACCACATTCATACTACAGGTCTAGCACCATTAGGTCATTCACCTCTTAGTGGAGGTACAAGGTTTACGCCTAGCCATCCCAAAGCCTCTCCACATTACCGCTGTATAAAAAGGACACATTTGCAGTCAGCCAAAGACAGGGATGGCTTCTGAAAACAACTGTGACAGAAAGAACCAATGATCATAAACTTCTCAGCTCTGTTTGCAGCAATTGAGGGAACAGGCCCCACTGAGTGGCAGTGGACACACCCACAGAGCGCTGTGCAAGTCCCCGGGCCATCCCTTCCCGCACTTCAATCATCTTTTCAGCCTGGCCTGGGCAGCTCTGTTGGTTAGAGCAGAGTCCCATTGTGCCAAGGTTGTGGGTTCGATCCTCCGCCGGGGATGTGCAAGAATTAACCAATGAATGCATGAAATTGATGTTTCTTTCCTCCTCTCTCTAAAATCAATACATTTAAAAATTAAAAAAAAAGAGATAAATAAATAATCTTTTCAGTGACAGTGACCCCTCACTAGACCATAAGCTCCTAGAAAGCAGGGACTGGGTCTTAGTCATCTCTGTCTCTGCGCTCCACAGAGCATCCAGTGCACAGGGGGCCTTCCCTAAACGTTCATTCCATGGACACAGAGTCAAGAAACATGATCAACACAGATGCTAGGGAAATCATTTCCTAGCAGTTCTAAACAAACTTTTGGACGAACCGAATGAACTCTCCTTACAAATGGTATCAGGTCATCTAGAAAGAAAAATTACCCTCAGGAGGACTGGTGCTGACAAAAGCTCTACGCCAAGTGAGCAATGATGCCATTACCTGTGCAGGTGTGGCACAGGGCAGCTGAGTGACAGGGCCCTGGGAAGGACAGAAACCTCTTTTCCTCTTTCCTCTGAAACATCGGAAGTTAAAGTCGCGTTCTGGGTGACAGTTACATCAGTCCCGGACAAACTGCGGATTTTATCGTGGAAACGAAGTGCTAAAGACAGAGGGTATTTCCACTGCTCTGGACAGGAGGCCACGGACCAGCGCTGCTCTACCCACGCGTGCACACATGTGTGCTTCGGGCCAGGCGGAGGCAGCGCCTCCTTCCCCTCGGTTCCATCTGCATAGCGCTCCTTCTCCGAAGCTTCTTTGGATTTCATGGTCGGACAGTGAAGTTCATTTTCTTTATTCTTCAGCCTCTGTCCTGATAAGCGTCCACACGTAAGGACTTTGCCTGCTTTTTCAACCAGTTGATCTTTCTTGGCTTGAGTATTTTTTTCTGACAATACGATAGACGAGTCTGGCTTCTGGCTTACTTTACACAAAAAATGCACTGTAAATTCATGCTGAGAGGTGGGCAGGCAGAGGTAGGCGTGACCGTCTACAGAGGCTACTTTCACAGCGCCACTCTGCAGCCACACCGCACCGTCATCGGCGTCAAGACTGGGCCACCTCACTTCTGAGACGTCGAGCAAGACACGCTGAGTCGGGGGGAGAAAAGGAGATGGTCAATATTTTCTGTTAACAGACCAAATTTTCCATACGTTTGATACTTACGTATGTGTAAGAGAGCTCTTAAAGTTTGCTTTACTACCTAGAGAAAATGAAAAAGGAGATTTGGGTTGTCAGCCTACATATGATTTTTCACAGAATATTTGATATCTCTTTAGAGCAGCAGAACACACACACTGACAAAAAAATGAGAGAAAAGAAGAAAGAAATCATCGTAATTATATCTAGTGTTAGACTTTTTGTTGCTTAAAATGTACAGTGAATGTACAGTGAATGTACAGTGAAAAAGATTTTGAGCCCCTCCCAAAAGTCTACTCTAAAAAAGACTATAGCTCTGGCTGTTGTGGCTCAGTGGATTGAGTGCCAGCCTGTGAACTGAAAGGTCACCGGTTCAATTCCCAGTCAGGGCACACGCCTGGGTTGTGGGCCAGGTCCCCAGTTGGGGGTGTTTGAGAGGCAACAGATCGATGGGTCTCTGGCACATCGATGTTTCTCTCCCTTTCTTTCTCCCTTTTCCCCCTCTGTCTAAAAATAAGTAAATAAAATCTTTAAAAAAAGAGAATTAAAATAAAAATAAAAAGACTATAAATGAAGGAAGACTAGCACTATAATGTACTGTATTAAAAACAATCATAACTTAAATGGTATGAAATTAGCACATAAAGGATTGACAGAACTCATAAAATACAGAAACAGACTCAATATATCTTAAATATGTTACATGTGATAACAAGTTTTTCAAAACAAAGGGGACAAGGGAGAATTATTTAAGAAATGGTACTGAATTATTGAATAGCCCTTAGGAAATGTTATCTCAAAGGATTATGACCCGGACTAAAGTACCTGTCCTGGATCACACCTGGCACACCATACACTACAATACATTCCAGGTGACTCAAGGAGTAACATTTTTAACAACTGAATTACTCAAAGGTCAGTGGATGCTGACCAACAGCAAACAGCCTCGTAACAGGTCCCAGCGCCGGCTGTGAAGTTTCACGTCGGACGGAAACAGCAGGTGTCACGGAACAGTCTTTTAATCAGTTCATCTTGCCAACAACTAAACACTTCAATTTCCATTTACATAGAACTTTAAATTTACCAAAACCACTGTCCAGAAAGCCTCTTAAATCTGCACTGCTATACTAGTACACTAAAATTAAGGGCAGTATTCACTGATGGCAAAGCTGGTTTGTAAGGATGACCGGTTCAGAAAGTCCTCTCTTCTGGAATTAGACTGCCTGACGACCCTCCTGCAGCACCAGCAGCAAGATACGCAACTTCAGTGAGTGAAACTGCTGCACAGGCACAGTGGGAAAGCAGCCTGTAGGCTAGGTTACGGCTCACAGTTTTTTCATGGCTTCTTTGTCATGAGACAATACAACAGGAAATCGTGACAGCAGTAGAAACAGGCAACAGAAGTAGACAATAGGCAGCTTCAGAGTCAAACAGACTGGGTTCAAATCACTTGGCCGGAAAGAAAATTTCCATGGAAAAGTTAGGCAAACTCTCTGAGATTTAGTTCTTTCGCCTGTGAGAAGGAGCTGATTTCCAGCCAGTACACCTTTTCTAACTGGTTGGACACCCACTTTAACCAGCAGGCACCCCAAGGCAAACGGGTGCTATCAAATATTTTTTTTTAAAGATTTTACTTATTTATTTTTAGAGAGAGAAGGGAGGGAGATAGAGAGAGGGAGAGAAACATCAATGTGCGGTTGCTGGGGGTCATGGCCTGCAACCCAGACATGTACCCTGACTGGGAATCGAACCTGTGACACTTTGGTTCGCAGCCCGCGCTCAATCCACTGAGCTCCGCCAGCCAGGGCGCTATCAAATATTTTTAATGTCACTCCCAGTTCTTGGCCCACAGTAAACCTTCAATAAAGGATAGTTACTATTATTATTCCAAATTCAAAATAGAATACAAGCAAAAGAATAAAATTTGTATGCCCATAAGTAATTACATAGCTCTATTATACATGAACAAAAACTACACATAAGCTACTAAAAATGTCCACATAATTTCTGGAATTTCACACCTCCAACCATCAAACAGTCACCAATATGAAAAGTTCTGAGTATAATCCTGGGCTACAAAGAAAAAAACCAGGGTAATGAATTATCCAACTTCTGTGTCTCAATCAATATGTAAAACATGAAAACTCCCTAGTCTGGTGAAATATAAAGGCCTATGCATCCTATAGCAACATGTCTATTCAGAGTGTCATAAAGAAAAAGACTAGATATTAAAAAACCTACTCTAATCACTTGTCTTCAAATCTTAAAAAACTGAGTTGTAAAAAGTTACCTTTTTTCTTTCAGAAGGTATAATGTTTTCCGACAAAAATGGGCAAGTGGCGAAAGAGTTTCGAAAATCTAGGGCTCTCTGTAGTTGCTCCTACAAAAAGATACAGATACAATCTTAAAGAATCATTGGAAATACATTGAGTACGGCAGCAACCCAGCGTCCCGATTACTTTCCGTATTCTGGCCACCTCAGCAACATTTCGGTGCTAGAAAGAGTGGTGTTTGTGTCACCTTGACTTACTCGGTAAGCGCTAATTACAAAGTGTGTCCTTTGACGAATTCTCTCTGGTTGTTCTAAAGGATGTGCTGAAGCAGGAGGTGCCTTTTCAAACAAAAACTCAGAGCCACAGGGAGAAAGCTGCAGTCTGGAACCGTCGGCATACCGCACTTGCGCCGCATCGTCTTCATACAGTACCATGCGCACTTCGGCCGCCATCACCGCTCCTGTGGATGAAATGTCCTTCCGAGGCGAGGAGGACTAAGGAATTAGGAAACGGGAGCACAGAGAGTTCACTTAATGTACAGAAGTCCTATCGAAATAAGCCGATGCATTTTCTAAGAGCATAAGTAAAACATACTGCCATTGCGTTTACTTTTGTTCAAGGAAAAGTGACTACCGTATTCTTCAGACTATAAGATGCACTATCCCGCCCCCAATTTGGGAGGAATAATGGTTGTTAATGCTGCTGTTGAGTTCTGTTTACATTTACATTGGCGAAATATTATGTTAATTATGTAATTAAATATTTTACCACATTTTTTGCTTCAAAAATTTTTTTCCTACTTTCCTCCTCTAAAACCCGGGTGCGTCTTATGGTCTGAAAAATACGGTATCTTACCAGACACACTTAAATGATCTCAAATTAACATCCTTAACAGAATGCCCGATTAACCCCCAAGGCTCTACTCCAGGGTGGGTACAGAACCTAGAGGGCAAAGACGGCCCACCAAGTTACAGCTGCCTTTATCATTTTAGGAGCTTTACTTCTCCTGAAGTTCCATTTCAGAACATCATATATATGTTCAGCATCTCATTTCCAATAGCAAGAAAATTCCACCCATGCAATACGAATCCAGGAGATCATCTGTAATACAACGCAAAAGGCAGGCCAAAAGTAACTGTTAGGCCTAAAGGAACACCTGGATCCTTGCCCCTGGCCTGGCATCAGGAGGTGTCTTCACGTCACCACAGAGCAAGCTAACCATCTCTGAGGGCTTAGATTCATCCTCGTCTCACTCGGTCCATTTTCCTCTTCTGCACCTTTAACACGGCTGGCTACCTGCACCTCTGCTTTCCAGATTACAGGTACGATGGAAATGGGGTTCGGGGGTGGGTCCCATTCGTGTCTACCACGCACTAGCAGTGAGCTTCAGGCTGCTTGTTTCCTATTGTAGGAGGGGGACAGCAACAGGACTGTTGTGAGGACTGAAAGGAGGTAACACGTACGACAGTACCTAGCACTGCCAACGTCACCTCGTAGGAGCTCAATAACCACGACCCCTTTCTAACCCTCACTGCATGTCCTTCTAGGACGTTATTTCCTTCTGCTACTCAGGTGATCAAGATTCACCTGACAGAAAAAAAATAAATTTCCCTGGACACCACTCTCCCCAGTTTACCCCCCTTTCCTGCCGATACACCTCTCAAGTGCAGTATCTGCTCACTGTCCACCAGCCTTCACTCCACTGCAATCCAGCTTCCCCTCCACCTCGCCACCGAGACCGTTTCACGACGGTCCCCAACATCGCCCTGCAGCAGTGACTTTGGTCTTCGTCCTGGCAAATTGGTCAGCTTGCGGCAGCACTGCCCACCTTGCCCTTAGCAAACTCGCTCTTCCTCTGCCTTTTATTCTAAAAAAAGGGGGAGAGGAGCTGCCACAGCTTCCCCACTGCCCCCCAAGTCTACCTCTGTTTTTGGTGTAAGGATTCTTCTTCACCGTTCTCTTAAACCCAGGATTCAAGACCTGACCTGAGGGCCCATTTCCTTCCTTAACTACATACACTCGTGTCAGTTTTATGCCCACCCTTGCTTTTTTTAAAAAAAATCTTACCCCCTTTCAATGTATGTAACCAGTACACGTGATTAGCTAACAACTGTTTACGGACTATGTGAGGACAGAATAAATGTTAAACCGTAGGGTCTCTCCTGAGGAGATTCACGCAACTGTGATTATTTTCTTTCTCCAAAGACCTTCCAAACCTACCCGACCCTTCTCCAGGGCTTCCAGCTGCCGGCCCCGCCCCCCACCTGCCACAGAGAAATCACACTCAGCGTGACTGCCGGAACTCAGACACTCCCAGCGAGCACGGCCGTCTGCAATAGCCCCTAGCTTCACTGTCAACACTCACCCCGTCGTGTTCATCCACCTACGGGAGCCGGAGGGGTCTTTTAAAGTAAAAATGAGACATCGCTCCCTGGCTCACAACCTGCCCCTTGCACTCACAACAAAACCCAGATTCCTAACCAGGGCCTAACCTAAGCCCCGCACTCTGGCCACTCTGCCTCTCGGAATGTCACCTCCTGGCTGTCTCCCTGTTCAGGGCACTAGTTCCACTGGCCTTTGTCATGTTTTTCACAACAAGCCGTCTCCCGTCCCAGAACCTGGGCACTACTTTTCCTGCCTAGCGGGTCCTTTTCCTGGCTCCGTCACATGCTGGCTCTTTGTCGCCATCGAGATCTCAGTGCAAACGTCACAACTTCAGAGGCCTGACCATCTCAATTACAGTTGCTTCCAGTCACCTTTTATCTCTTCCTTCAGGGCATCTATCATCACTCTCAGAAGCGATTCTACTTTTTTACTCACTTTTTGTCATTTCCCTCTAGGACATAAATGCAATCAAAGCAGAGACTTCATTTGTCTTAGTCAGAATTGTACCCCTGGCATCTAAAACAATACTTGGAAAACAAAAAGGGTGAAGTAAATATTTACTTAATGATGAAAAGAGTAGGTACGTTTTAAAGTTCTTGCTTTTTGTCTATGGCCATACCCTCCTTCAGTGCCCGAGCTGATCTCAAATTCTTGCTTTTCTTGACTTTGCAGTTTGAGTCAATGCAGCTCAGTGTTAGCAATATTTGACCTCTGACTCTGTTTCCCTCCACTCTCTTGAACCAAGTCCTGTTCCTTTGGTCTCTCTCAGGAGCCTGGCTCTTCCCTCCTGTTCCATTTCAGGCCGTCAACTCTTCCCAGTTCCTGCAGCTCCTGCAGCTCCGTGGGACCTTTCTCTAGCTGCTTCCCTCTCCCACCCATTTCCAGGACTGCTGTCATAGGTAACTGCACAGCCCAGCCCATACCAACCACTTTACACCACTCGTTTACATGCCTGTTGCGTGCAATAAATATTGACAGCCACATGTATAATGTCTACTTGCTATTTCGGGGGGGAAAAAAACAAAAAATAGGTGCATACACAAAGGAAGAAGCCCTGGCTGGTGTGACTCAGTGGATTGAATGCTGGCCTGCGAATCAAAGTGTCGCTGGTTCAAATCCCAGTTTAGGGCACGCGTGCCTGGGCTGCAGGCCAGATCCCCCCATTAGGCGGGCCCATGAGAGGCAACGTTCAATATCTCTCTCTCTCTCCTTTCCCGTCTAAAAGTAAATAAATCTTTTTTAAAAAGGATGCAGAACACTAATTAACAAACAAAGGAGGAAAACATATTTTGTGATAACACTTGGGAAAGTATCTTTGGCCACGGTATTTATTTCTTTATAAAGTTTATTGAGGTGTAACTTTTTTTTTTAATAAGAAGCGTACACAAGAACATAAGTCTAAAGTTCGAGGCTTATCATAAATCTGCCCCAGTCCACATTTCCTGCCACAACTGTCTTACTCCTTCCTGTTTGTTTTCAACACCCAGCACACCTTACGACTGAGTATGTTTAACGATCAAAAGGCCACAAGTCTGTTGTTATTTCTTTTAAGCCGCAACTCGGTTCTTGATGTCGGTAGGAATCTCATTTTTCTTTTTCTTTTAGAGAGAGGACAGGAGGAAGGGGGAAAGAGAGAAAGAGAGAGAGAGACACTGATTTGTCGTTCACTTATTTACGCATTCATCGGTTGATTCCTGCATGCGCTCGGACCTGGGGAACCGCAACCTGGGCATCAGAGGACGTTCTCACCAGCTGAGCTCCGCGGCCAGGGCAACCTCCTTCTTCAAAATGCAATAGCTGGTTACAGAAAAAGTTCACCGAAGCGAACAACGTTTGGAACTCACACAGCCGCTCCGAGCTGAACAGTCATGGGAACGAGGCCAGTCCACGGCCCTTGCACTTTAACTCGCCGAAAGGCTCCGACCGCAGCGTCTGCGCCAGTCCGTGACCGTTTCTCCAGGAATTTTTTTCGAATTTACAAATTACCCACGAGTGATGTTTCCCGATGAAACAATCACAATCGCGGGGATCTAAGGCCACTGGGAGAGTGTTTTTGTCTAACGCTTCTATCCGGCTTGAGTAGCTGGAGCTGCGGCAGCAACCGGGACGCCGCCGGAGAGAAAACACAGCCAAACAACAGTGATTCAAACTTTCCCGCCCCCTGGGGCAACCGCTTCCCATTCTGGAAACCGGAAGGCCGGAAGTCCCGCCCCGGGCACCTCCCCGCCCCTGGACCACGCCCCCTCGCGCTCCCCGCGAAGGGAAGGGCCGGAAGTGGGGAAAACGTCCCCGGGGTCCCAATCCGGAATCTGGTCGACTCCTCTTCCGCGGCTACTTCCGGTACGTCAGCACCGAAGCCGTCGGACCCCGCCGCCGTCGGAAAGCCGGTGGCGACGAGCATCTAACGGTCCGGCCACGCTCACCGCGCGGGCGGGCCCTCGTGCAGCGACAGTGCTTGAAGTCACCGACCGACGGTTGCACCCCGAGAAGGATGTAAACGAAGAGCTTGACCTTTTCTTCTAATTTGGTGTCAGAAAATGTGTCTGCACCTTTTCGTATCTGCACCTGTGTCTAAAATGGCAAGTAGGCTTGACTGCTGTTTCTTGTCCTTAAACAAGCGTTTCCGGAGCGCCTGCTCTGCGCCAGGCACGCTGGGGACAAAGCAGGAAGGGGGGCCCAGGGTCGAGGCTGGGAGCTAGAGATCAACTGCAAAGAAACGACTAGACAGGAATTTGACCAGAGCTGTGGTAAGCGGCCCTAAAATAAAATGCTCCGGTCTTTGCCAGCATATAGTGGTAGCCCTAGTAACCCGGGCTGAGGAACTGCTTCCCCGGAAATCCAAAGGATAAATAGCCAGGCGAAGAGAAGTGTTTTAAGCAGAGGCGACGTTCTGGGTTAAGGCCCTGAAGCTAGGAGTCCAGTTTGGTGCAGGAAGGATGCAAGAGCAGGCCTTTCGGGCAGAGAAACCTGAAAGGGGGCTACGAGGGAGGCAGGGCAAGATCATGACAAAGTTAGGGATTTCAGACTTCATCTTAAAAGCAATGGTAAACTATTACAAGGGCTTCGAGCAAAGGTGGCAGCACCACGGGGTGGGGAGAAATGTAACTGCTTAAGTGCATCTCCATTTTTAAACGTCTGATACTCATATTGACCTCAACCTTACGTCAAGTTTTGTACTATACAGTGCTAACTCAGGTCTTGTCCCTCTCCCACCTTTTCTCTCGCCAGTGTCTGAGAACCTCCTACAGGACAATTCTCTTTACAACTCAGGGTGTATGTGATGCTCTTTGTACTTTAGAAATTTGCCTGGGACAGTGGAGTGGAGAATGGATTGTAGGATGCAAGAGCAGATGTGGGAGCCCGACAGAGGGCCCTTGAAAAAAGAAAAGAGAGAGATGGCCGTTCAGACTGGGCAGTAAGGACGGAGAGCACAGCTCCAAGGAATATTTAGATCAACTGTATAATCTTGGGAGTGCTTGCGTGTGGGGTTTTGAGGGGAGGGTCAGAGTTTGAAAGTTCCAGGCTCTCCAGTTGGTGCACATGGCTAGGTGGCAGCACCATCCGTGAGGAGGGGCGCAAGCGACTTTGAGCACATTTTGAGGCTAGCGTGACTTCGAGTTTGTAAGCCCTCCTGGTGGGAATGACAGGCTGGCAAAGGTGCAGAAGCAGAATGCAAACAAATCCGGAGGTCACCTTGGCCGGATAGCTGCTGACTGCAGTCCAAGAATAATGCGACATGAGAGAAGAATGCCGGCGACCCAGCTTTCAGGAACACCACTATGTGCAGATGACGTGAGGGAGGAGAACCCCACGAAAACCCGAGGAACAGCACAGAACCAGAAAGGCAAGCTACTGTGCTCTGAATGTCTAGAGGCGTTCAGTTGTGGTGTCACTCGGCAGTGTCAGAGACCACCTGGAGAACAAGCTGAAGAAGGACACGTCTACTAGATCTAGTGACATGAAGGTCATTGGTCTCCAGTGAGAGCTGTTGTATATGGGGGGCGGGGGCAGAAGCTATAGTGGGTTTGAAGAGCAAACGGAAGGGAAGGAAATTGAACAATTGGGGTGACACTTAAGAAGTCGGACTAGGAAGCAGAGACAGTAGCTGGGGAGTGGGGGGTATGTTCAACAGCTCATGCAAAAGAGCCAGTGGGGAGACATAAAAAATACAGACCAAGTAATTAATAGAGCTCATGGGAGTGAGAGAGGATAGGATTTCAGCACGTTAAAAGCTGGCCTTTCGTAGGAGCAGTCCTTCCTGTACAGCAGGGGTGTCAAACTCATGTTCACCGGGGGCCACATCAGCCTCCGGTTGGTGGCCTTCGAAGGGCTGAATGTGACTTTAGGACTGTGTACATGTAACTACTCCGGAACTAGGGGCAAGGAGCTCCGTGCTGCCGCCGGGTAGAAACAAGATGCTCAGCCAGAGAAATCAAAGTGGAGGGCCGGATGCGGCCCTGGGGCCTTGTGTTTGCCACCTGTGCTGTACAGGAAGAGGAGGGACACAACGAATGCAGATGCATTTGTATACATTTATGCCCTTTTTGTTTTCTTTCTGTGAAGTGAGTCATCATTTAGGGGATGGAGCAGATTGAGGGGTCTAAAACAGGAATGAAGAAACAGTAAAATTATTGGCAGTGCCGACAGCCTAAATGAAGGTGGTGGTGATGAATTTACAGGGGTACAAACCTACCAGAAATATGAACTTCACCTGTCTGGCTGCAGCCCCCGTGCGGGGTTCATCCAGGTTTGGCGTCTTGATAGGCTGACATAATACGGCAGTAGCACCCATGACCTTAAATTATTTACATCTGCCAAAGTCATCAGCCAAAGACTATAGGCTCAAGTCTGCAGCTGGACAAAGTCACCCTGACTGACCTATAAGCCAGGGGCCACCAGAGGAGCTGGAGTCGGGGGTGGGGGGCGGGGGGCAGGTCTGGGCTCCAGCGGAAGGGTGCTGTGGCAGCTGTGGGGAAGGGAGACCGGTTCTGGGGGGGCGCCCTCCCTGCCCCCGGAGTACGAGAGGCGGGGACTAACTAGGGTGGGTGCTGTGGGGCGCGAGGGCTGTCTAGCCACTGGGTGTCCCCAGGAATAGGTGGGAGGGGGCAGCAGAGACGTCTAAAAGTGTCCTTGATAACAGAGCAGCGGTCACACAAAGAAAGAAGGGGTCATGGCGACCGTGTGTAGTTGCCGTAGGACCTTGGAAGAAACGTTTCCCGTCAGGTCTGCGGTGGGTCTTCTCTGCGTCCTCCCGGCCTGGGGAACAGCAGGGCCTCCCCCCCCCGCCCCCCCGTTTGAGTCAATTTTCAGTCCTTCAGTCCTGGATGACTTTTTACTTTCATAACCAAGCCAAGTTTCCTCCTCTCTTGCTAAATGTGCCTTTTCAAATCAATTACAACTTAATCTATACCTGTCTGCCCCCTATTAAGATTTAATAAAACACCCAATCATAGAACTGCCCCTGCTTTCTGATCACATGTAGCAGGGGTGTCCAACCCATGGCCAGCGGGCCACATGAGCCCAGGATGGCTATGAATGTGGCCCAACACAAAGTCGTAAATTCACTTAAAACCTTTCTTTTTGCTCATCAGTTTTTGTGTTTGTGTATTGTGTATTTCATGTGTGGCCCGGAGACGCCAACAAAAGGTTGGACGCCCTTTTTTAGACCCTCCCGAACCACCCCATCAAAGCCCCAATCCCGTAATTTGTTGTTTCTGACACAGCCCACGGTTCCCCACAGTGCATACTCTGCCCTGCTACAGGCACCAAGCCCAGCGTGTTCAGGGTCAGGTGTGTTCCTGCTAGTCTTTGGCTGAAGGGCATTGGGAACATACAGACAGAGGGTCTGAGGTGATGACAGGACCACCAGGTTCAGACCGGGGTTGCACTTCGCTGCCCCAAGAATGGCACTCACTGGCTCCCTTGCATCCTCTCTGCAGACTCGTACTAATGAATAGTCCTGACCTAAGACTTACTCATTTCTGTAAGATGTGGCAATTCTACAGGCCAACGATTGTAGCGTAGGACCAAATTTTCCGTTAATTATGCACTGTTGCAGTTTTAAAACATGGCCACCCGTTTCCCGATGGCCCCGATTGATATGGCCTTAGCGACTGGAACCAGAGACTGCAGTGGAGGTAATGCCGCCCACAGCCTCTGAACGCCGGCTCTCCCTGCGTCCTCTGGGATGCACACCCCCCCTCCGTCCAGTGATGTCTTCTGGCCACCGCTAGCGTTCCCGCCACCCCAACAGCCCAGTTCCTCGTTTTCCCAGCCGAGGCCTCAAACACTGTGGAGGAGGCGGCACAGGATCCATGAGCATAAATAAAATGTTTATGTACGAAGACTAAGTTGGGGTGGCTTTTTAAGCAGCACCAGGAACTAGAACATATGCTGGCCATGTGGGAGGCTGTTAGGAGCAGGGGTAGATGACAGTGAGCTAGTGGACAGAAGGACAACTGATGTTATTCACAGAGCAAACGCTGCAAGTTTAAAGTGTTCAGTTAGCATGTGCTTGCCCCCTCCCCTGCCCCCAGAGAGGCAGTGAGCGCCCTCGTTTGAGAACTGCAGATTAAGGTAACAGCCACCGTGTTACAGGAGCCATTTAGGAGAAAGAGTTCTGACTATTATGAGTTCCAGAACTCTAATCGCATATATAAGTTGGGGCAAAAGTGGGTTTACAGTTGTGAGTACACAAAGCAGTTTATTCTTGTATTATGATTTATTAATTATTATAGTCTTTTCCATATGAACTGTAAACCTACTTTTGCCCCACCCTGCATACTTTTTACAACGAAGAATCTAAAAGTTTTAATGTTGCACATATGCCAATTTTTCCAACTAGTTATTGAACTGAATTTTTATTCAAGAGACAATGGATAGACTGTCTTCTATACCAGTATAGTTTCTGATTTCAAACCATAGTTTTATAATGTCATATAAAAAAGTTCAACACAAATTCTTTAAAAAACCAGGATACCATTCCAAAAAGTTAGAGAAAACAAAACCATCTCAATTTTATTTTCAAAGTCTAATTTTAATCCAGACTGAACAAACAAGCAGAAAAGTGAGAAAGCCGACTGGAGTAGCAGACACAGGTGTACCAAATGTAAAACAGTGGGGTTATTAACAGAACTATTTACATGCATATTTACAAGCAACCCTTTTGTAC